CGGCTCTCGTCGACAACGCCGCGACGACGCGACGACGCCGCACCATGCAAAACGTGGACGCGGCGACGACGACCTGCGAACAAAGCAGCCGAGGCTCTCGGCGCAAGGGGTGGGGAGGNCGCGGGGGGCCGCAGGGCTGAAACGGTGTATTGTGGCAGTAAGAGTGCGTGCTCGAATGGATCAAGTTTCAAGAGCTCAGAACAAGTTTAAACAAGAAGGAGTATCTCGGCTCAAGAGTTCTTCACTGCTCTTTGGCAAAATGGCGCTTAAAACCTTTGAGATTTTTCTCTCTTCCCGGCCCGCCCCCCCCCCCCCCCTCCCCCCACTTTCAGCCCCTGCCCCGGCGCGTTTTTTTCTGAATACACCAAGTGTCAAAGCTGCATCAAATTCTGCTACCGTCATAATTTAGCCCTCTCTAGTTCTATCCCCTCCCTTTCTCCTCAAATTAACGAACGAAACTTCGGAGGCGCACAAATGACTTGGATTCAGAGCACTCGCGAGTGACNGGGGGGGGGGGGGGGATTTGGCTGATTTATCGAGCCCAATGCCTCTGCCTGGATTACGAAGGATCCAGTGTCGGAAGTTGACGGCTCAAATCTGAAACCACGTACATCGATTCTCAAAATTTATGCGCTTACTTCATTTTTCGGTGGAGTAAATAGTGTTCGCGCAGTTTTTGAAAGATATCCACCTGGTTTTGGATTTAGGGGCTGGATAAAAATTCAGCTGATGATGGGAAGGTACCCGGTTGAAGAGTCTTGCAGAAACGCAGTTAAAATTTTTCATCGTCCACTAGCAGCCTGTACTTTCAGCCGCTTGACAAATAACTTGCCGGGAGTTTTCTATTCGAAAACCATTCTTCCATCTCACTCATTGCTTTGCCGAATTAGAAGACAAAATTCAGGCGTATCTGCAGTCATCGTTCACTAAAGATTCGCCTTCAGCCTTGCCAGATAGGCAAAATACCTACCGAGGAACGAGTAGTCGCAGATTCAAAACTCAGCATGCTTTCATCTCGATCCAGCCGTGCTTCCATGGATGCACTGGAAGACTTTGAGTATGTGTTTGTACCTATGTGTTGTATGTGTGTGTTTGTAGTTATCGTTCACTTGATATGCCCATCTTATTCCACACGCTTTTCCTCTTTGTATGAAAATTTCAGACGCGGCATTGAAAAATATTTTCAATTCTTCTTATCTCTTATAAGAAACCATACATCGAAAGACAAATATATTTATGAAAAAATTGAGAGTTACCGAGGAGGTAGATAGTAAAAAATACAAACTCACCGGAGCTTGGAAAAACAGGAATGTTAACTGGATATTATCAAGCTACGTGAGGTGCATGAAATGAGGTGGTTAAGTCCAAAAAAAGGCCCAAAAATGGCAAAAGTGGCAAATTACTTTCCAAAAAGTTACAGATCTTACTTTATTCTTGATGCAGAATATAAATTTGAAGAAATATTCTTAGAACTAGTCGTGATTAGCTCGCTTTGCGAGCTGACACGTCTAGCCGGGGAGTGCCCCTGGACCCCAGTTCTACGCTTCGCGACGAACTTGCGACTCGCTCCGCGAGCCGCCACCGCCCCGCACAGTTTTTAACATT